CAATACTGCGCATAAACTGTCAAATAGATGTAAAAGCGAGAGCAACAATGACATCACCAAGCTGTGAATAATGCCTCGGAGATAATCACTCGTAAATATATCTAGACATACATGGTTATACAAAACGAAAAGTAACTGTAAATAATATAAAAAGGGGGCGGCGAAGCGGTGTTGGAATGAAACCATTGTAGATATTGGATAGAGGACAACAGGCGTCTACCTGCTAGCAGTGGCAGTTACGGTCACACATCCTCAAGATAAATCTATTGATTTTAATGCCCAGATTTTTTACTTTTGTCACATAAAGGCTTTTTTTGTGCATGGTTATTAAAGTATGCCAAGGCTCTTATTATTTTTGAGCAATGGCTACTTTGCTCATCTTCGTTTCTTGCAAAATTTTAAGCATGATTGATAATTATTAGGTAATATTTTCAGGACTAGAATTTTCGAGCATTCAGTCGCCTAGTTTTATTAAAATATAGAAGTGTCATTAAGGTTGAAAGTATAGACAAGTCAGGTTACTATGTACAAGTACTTACTTCACTTCTCAGAAACTTATGAATTACTATTTCACTTTCAATAGACACCAGGTAAATAAGAGTCGTTATTAAGAAAACGTGAGTAAAATCATGCTCCCATCAACTTGAGCTTCTTTTGTCTTCGTAGTATATAAAACCATGTATCTCCGATAAAACAAGTTGTTTAAAATGGAATAAATTTACATTTTCACACACCGATAGTACAATTATTGCGTAGTTTATGTGCTCTATGGAATACAATTGTAATTGTACACAATCTAAATATAAGTAGGTAAATATTGATATGGTCGATTTTTGATGCATCAGTATGATATATTTTTTTAAGAAGTTCTTTAACAATTTTCCCTCCAAAAATAATTTAGGCGTGTTGTTAGATCGATTTCCAAAAAAATTAAATATAGGTACAAAAACACAACCATCAGCAAAGTTAGACCTATTATTATTGATTTCTCACGTCAGATACTTTTATGTTTTTGTATCATGTACATTGCAATGTGTATCTGCCAATATTTTCTGTATTTTAACATAAATCGACACAAACCGTCGTTTGTTTTTGGGAACATGTTCCCAATTACAAGAATCAAGCAATGGAAATCAAGTGAAATCGGTTTATCTACGAAGAAACACAAAATGTCAAATTGTAGTCTGTTCTTTTTGTCGATCCGTCCGTGACAAAATTGTGACTGTGCTCTTAGGCCAGCGATTATTTTATAATTTATGAACAAGTAATGAGATCAATGCAATTTAACCTTAAGACTGACCTTAGTACCTGTCTGTAGAGCATGATTTCAAGTTTCAACCTAAGGTTAGTTCCGAGATCTTTAGGTACCTTTTGCCTCGTCTGAGTATTGATTGAGAGAGCATTGCTTTGTTTATTGGAGTAATCTTATTAAAATGAAAATATAAGCCAATAACAATAGGACACTGTGTTCCAATTCAAAGCAGAACTACCGAGGATGATAAAAAATGTTCAGAATCAGAATTCAGGAATTTGATTAGTAATATTGTTAAATTAATAATTAATAACAACGCCATAACATACAAATCAGTTACAAAAACATTAATTGTCATTCTATATTTTAAATTTAATGATTTCATAAAGAATTGTTTGTTAACATACATTATGGAATCCCGAACCTAAAAGATATCCACTGAAAAGACCAACAACAACATAGTAACCAATTTTTTTATTAAACTTGTTTCACCTGTTTATGTTTTATTATTATTATTTAAGTATTTTAAAATAGTTTAATTTTAGCATGGGACGTCCTGTGTATTGTATGACACGCAAGTGCTAATGGAAAATAGGCAGACATTATGGGCTGTCGTGACTCGTGACTAACCCAAACCACTCCTGCAGGTAGCGTGATGCCAATAATAATGTCATTATTGTTTCGAGTTAAAACACCTTGATGTATCATAATCCTAATTTTAATATAATAGTAGCTAAACTTGAATACACCTAGCAAACATCAGAATTAATTGGAATTGATTTGAGCTATGGTGTTTACTTATTGCAGTTTTTGTTAGTCTTTTGCAAAAAAAATACTAAGTTTGGAGGGCAAACTTGAGCAATATTTAGCAATTTTGACAAATATTAGGAGCAACTCTAATTTTACATTGACTTACAGTCTAGTAGATATATCTTTTATTGATAAACATAAGCATACTGCACTTTGCTACGCTATTCAAAAGGACCTTAAAGAGAAGTGACGCCGTTTTCTAACGATGATTTAAATATATGATAAGAAAGAGTCCATTTCATCAACAACTAAAAATGTGTTGCATATCTCTCATAGTCATAATTTCATACTCCCATTTTTTATGCTGATGTTGAAGAGTGTACAAGTACAATGGTTGTGGTACGGACGCATGTACCTACATACTTTTAATTTCGCAAAGCTATTGTTAGTATTTGCCAGGCAGTAAAGAGACAAAAAGGGAAGGGGAACTGACCGGCAACTGCTGCCACCTCTTTCGCCCCGACATGTAAGAAATCGGTAAGAGATAAAGAACTCGCAATCAGTTGCCTGCGCTCCTGAAAATCCAGTTGGTCGAGGCTGTTGGTCCTAGTCCCGCGCACCGCCTGGACGGGCGCGCTCAGCGACATGTCAACTACGCGTCGCCATGTCGTACCGACAACATCTTCGCTATTGTAACAACACCAATTACACTGTCAATGAACACTAAACAAAGACACACAAGATGTGAAACCGACGCGAACAACGCCGATCACGACGTTTTCATTGCGAAATGCCTGCGCCGCCAGAGACGCTCAACGGCAAACTGGCGTGCGGGCGGCCGGTAACGCGGGGCAGAGTGGGGGCCCGGCTGCCTCTGTCCCTCCTGCATGTTGCAATGCACTCAGCTCGCCTCTCCGAGCTACAGCCGTGGTGAGACGAGCTAGTATCTGCCGCGTCACGTCAACACAGACATAACCGGCCTACAGCGAACTACGGCACGTCGCGTCGCAGCGGCGGCGTCAGGCCCACCGGAATTATTAATGTTTTGCTCTATTTGTATTGTATCATTTATTTTGTACGCAGTTAGTTACAACTTCAATTTATACGATGCCTTTGTTTGGTACTAAATTTTACAATCTAATTTAACGTTTCATATGTAGACATTTACTGTGAACAGTATAAGTGCTCGTAGTAATCAACGGTAACGCTGTTTTAAGTTCAAGGTTGACAAGCTTCATACGGGTAAACAGACGAGAGAGAAAAATAACAAGTTAAGGATGTAGTTTGTACTTTTAAGCATACGAAAGACGAAAGAGAAAATATGTTGTGGCCAAAGTAGTTAGTTTAAAAGTGCGTTAACCTATTTGGGCCGACTAAACAGAAAATCAAAATTCACTGTTTATGTTATGATGACATAAAGTCCAAACATTGGCTGACTACGTAATGCACTAAGAATTTAGTTGGAATCGGAACCGAGTAGTTTTTACTATGTGGTGCGTAATTTTGTTTAAGATAAGCAACACGATGACTAATTGTTAGACTAATAATGAAATAGTAAATACACTCGAAATATAGAAAATTAAGCATGCTATAGTTACAGATACTAGAAAAAACACTTATTTCACTATTAATATAATCAGACATAATAATATAAGTAACGTTCCGTCATGTTGAGGTAAGTATTTAATGAAATAATCATGTTTTATCTAGTTATTAAAGGGAACAATTGTTATTTTTCTAAAGCATATAAGTAAAATGCACATTCTTCGTCGCAAACGAAGCATTGGTTCTCTATAAAAACAATAACAACTGGCTGATTTAGCGATTAAAGGCCCTTTAATTGCTCTGTGGTTCACAACCATTGAAAGGTTTTGCTCAGTAAGAAACTTTTTTTTACCGAAAGGTTTATTCACAGAGCTGTGAGTGTGCGAAATGTGGAGAATGAATAGAGAAGCAATTCTCTAGTCTAGATTAAAAGAAATCCAGGTTCAACAGTTTTGCCAATCAAACATTTCAAAGATACTTAAACCAAGCAAACCCCTGGACACTTGTTCACCACTAGCGGAATTATTTATCCTACTAATATTATAAATAATGTGAGTTTGTGAGCATATATGTTTGTTAATATTTTACACCAAAACGCTGGACCGATTTGGTTGAAATTTTGTATACGATTCCCTGTAATAACACATAGGCTGCTTTTAGCAACATACCACGCGGGCGAAGTCATTTATAGTTTAACAAATGGTATCGATAGAAAAACGAATATGTTCTCATCATACAAGGTATTTGATAGAAACAAGTCACGCAATAGTTACTTGTTTTTGTAAGCACTTGTCTTACAGTTCTCGTAGCACAGATTCAACAAACTTAATTTAAAACACAATTAGGTATTCGATTTGTGAACTACTCGAATCGTGAATTAACTTTTTAACCCCCGACGCAAAAAGGGGGTGTTATAAGTTTGACGTGTCTGTCTGTCTGTCTGTCTGCGGCATCATAGCTCCTGAACGAATGGACCGATTTCAATTTAGTTTTTTATATTCAGGTGTTTTACGGGCGAGTGTTCTTAGACATGTTTGATAAAAATCGACTGAGCCTTTTAAAAGTTATGGGGGGTTAAAGTGGGGAAGATAAACCGAATGTCTGCAAATATCAAATGAAAGGTTTTGACTTGTATGTCACAAAAAACCAAAACTTTAATAAGTTTGACGTCCGTCTGTGTGTCTGTGGCATCATAGCTCCTGAACGGATGAAACGATTTCAATTAAGTTTTTTTTGTATTATATACTTTTTAAGTTAGATTATGTTTTTAGTGTCGGTTTTTTTTTAATTTTTAAGTTATTAATATTCTTTTCTATATGAGTCTAAATAAAACAAGGCAGACTAATCAGACTTCCAATATCATCACATATTATCACTATCATATTTTATTTCAGTAATGGAGACGTCTTTGAAAACTTGCTTAAGGTAGACATGTAACAGCTTGTCAGCTTAACTATAGGTGCGGCGACCTCTCGCAAACGGCCTTAGTCGAGGCCATAGTGCGGCGCGAGAGGAGCTGGGAAGCCGTCTCCTCTTTCTGCGAAGCAGTTATGTTGGTAGAGGTGGGAGTTATCCTCCTCCTCACGCCCCAGCCGCCGCAGTAGGCAACACTCCGGGCGTCGGGGATCGAGAGACGATCAGCGGCCACCATAAGCGCGGGTCTGGGGACGGCGAGTAAGGGTAACCAGACACGAGCGTGCAGCGCGTAGCGTTCCGCGCGAGCCTCTAAGAGCCAATAGAGCACTACAACCGGGGTTGCGGGGCAAGCGCAATGAGGCACCGCGGCTTCGGCTTAGAGCAGGAGAAGGAACGGGGGGGGGCTTTTAGTCAGTAAGAGTCAGAGCGGGAGAAGTCATTTGGTGATTTTCCTCTCATCAAAAAAGGCGTAAAGCTATAGGTAGGAATTAAGTTACTCTTATTATAGTGAGAACGGCTCTCTGAGATAAGGCAATGCATAGACTAAATAGTAAAATTAGCTAACATCAACGACCGAAGTTTAACTCGTTCAAACATTGTTTACATAACATTTGGTGATACTGGCATTTTGTTTTCCACTTTCGCTGTCGAAGTGTCGATCCGTGACCAACCAACGCTAGTGGTCAAGTTACCCATTTAAAGCGTAAAAACTAGATTACCATGTTTGGCAATAGAAATTGATTACTGAAAAATTAAAATTTTCAGTAAAAAATTATATATGGGTATGTACTACTAATAGAAAATACTTGTTTCTTATATCAAGTCCCACTTACAATCGACCAGTATCTTGAAGGTGTATTTTCACAAAGTTGTGATGTACGTATGTAAATATTAACTGGAGTAAACACATTCATTTAAATTCATCCATTCAATTGGGTAGTGTCCTAGGTCAAAAATAAATTAATTCGACGTTCTAATACAATAAAATATTGAAAAATAACTATACTTTTATTCATCGATCGATCGATACACTAAGTTTTAGATTTTTTTTAGCTCATTATTCAGAAATAAGTAAGCTATTTGATGCAGAACTGTTATGACGTCATACCTCAGTTTTTCGTACAAATTTCATAGAAAAGTATCGTTTTTGACATTTGGATAAAAGTATTGAATTTGACTAGTTGGAAACTACCGTATTCTCTTGAGCTTTGCAACCGTCTTATCCAAGCTGAACATGGCTATGCACAGCTCTGCCGCGGGACGCCTGCTTATAGCTTATATTCAATTTTTCGACCTACACGACCAACCAACTGGATGGTAAATAAGACCGAAATTATTTTATTTCGACGGTTTTGACATTTTCCATTTGCTCTAAAAAATGCAATGGAATTCAGTGAACAGAATCATTGACCTTTTGAGAGGCTTTGAGTTTAGTACTTAAGCCTCCAATCGAGGAGAACTGTCCACTCTTATCTAACCACCTTTTCCAGTACTCTATTCGTAAGGTAAATGATTGTTAATTTGACTTAAAACTGGCTCTGTCTGACTGTTAGTCTGTCTGTTTTTAACCAGGCTGTTTCTTAAGAATCGTGATGACAATGTGGCCGTAATTTGGACAGATGATGATGACAGGTGTTCTATTGCCTTTATTACATCAAATAAGGGAATCCTTTATATAACACACGGTATTTTGATACGCAAAGCTATGTGCGCGAGTACGACTCACACTTTGCCAGTTTATAATAACACCACACTAGGTACGTTTCTTATTCAAAATTGTTTATTTTTTCAATACAACAAAATATGTAAAGCTTTCAATAACCGCAAACACGATATTCCTAATTAGTATTTTTTCTTTACTTTTCAAATAGCAGGTATTTTTAACCCAAAAATCATGACGAAACAACATACAAACACCGACTTCGCATTGTGTGTGAGCAACGCGTAAAGTGTTGACAAATTGTCAAGTACCCAACTATCATAAAAAATGCCATTATCTCCCATTTTGTCAAGGCTTTATGAAATTGTATAGGTATCAGTTTTACATAATCTGCTTTGTGTACACTAATTTAATTATTAGTAATCTTATCAACTGAACCTAAACGGCTAACTCGAAAAATAGAAACGAATATAACATGTACGAAAAAAGAAGACTGAATCACTCAATGGTGTGTTTTTTATTGAGCTATTCAGTGTGATTATACAGTGTAATTCAGCCATTTTTCTTATGAGTATTTGTAAAATTATTTTGATGGCATTTGGACTTATAATAACCTCTCAAGCAGTTAGATAATTGCTTAAAGGTCACTTATAAACGGTCTCTTTTTTTAAAGAAGTTGAGGCAATCGAGCATAGCCCTAACTTACTAGTAAGCGATCGGAGCCGCCCATGGACAAGCAAAACCAATAAGTCGCCATTATGTTGCCAGCATTTATGTATAAGTAGTAGGTACTCCTATTAGTTTGGAAATCCTGCCGTCGACAATTCATTTTATAGTTATGCTGCACGATAGAGACAGTTTCGTCTTTCTAAAGCACACAGTTGATAGTGTTGTTACATCATCATCATCATCATATCAGCCACAGGACATCCACTGCTGAACATAGGCCTCCCCCATTGACTTCCAGATAGGCCAGTTGTTATATATCTATATATATCTAGCAACAAATGATGGGGATGGAAATAATACGAAATTGGCGCATTGGCTGGGCAACTGAATGCCAAGCAACGTGTCGCGGGTACGATTCCCGCATGGATCAGCTCTTTGTGTGGTTGAAAAATTGTTGTTCTGAGTCAGGGTGTCATTTGTATGTTATATTGTATGATTGTAAACGCTTTCACGACACATGAGGAAATCTTAATGCGGTAATCCAAATAAAAGATTGGTACGATTATTAAATGTATTATCGTTTTACTGTTATCTACATAAAATAGCAGTTAAAATGAGTACATACAGAGAATATGACTTACAGTAAACTTCGTCTAAGATTTCGGAATCACTGCTTGTATCATCGTCTACTGGCCTATGCCGCGTTTTTATTTTTTTGTTTATAATATCCATATTGTCATTTCGATCAGTACACACTCGGCTTCACATTTCCAATGCACACACCAATCATTAACATCTTAACACTTTGATACCCGAGCAGCACACAGTTTCAAATAACACTGAGACATCACGCATTAAATTTTGAGATTAGATAGCAATTGATAGCATCTACTTATCAAAATGTTTTTCTATTGGTGCTTGATTGTGTTGATTTCTTCATAACAAATAGCAATCAACTTATTTACAAGGTTATCCGAAAATGATATAAGTATTTATTTAACTCATTAAAATGTTTGCAGAATTATGTAATAGCAGTAACCAACATTGGGATGATCTGATTAATAATCAACATGATGAGGTAGAAAATAAGATCTCTCAATTTACTAGACCAAATGCGTTTTAAAATCATAACAACGTTTCCAAGCAATCTTACTTCTTTTATAGAGTTAGAATGAGTTTTCCAATTAACATGGTTCCCTATTATCAAGATAGGTATTCATTCTAGACGACAACATCGACACAACCGTCAATCTAGTCAATCAATTTAAAATTAAATGAACTGAAGTGTTGTTTTAAAAATGTAAAAAAATAAGCTTGATTAAACAAAGTGTTCGCTTTTGATGATGAGCTCGGGTAGATTAAGCGTGCAGTCCCTTTTTATAAATAGATATCTATTGCCCTAGAAAATAAACGAACCATATTTTCATGCTAGAAACCTATGTAGCGTGCTAATGCGAGCAATGAAGCCATAAAATATAAAAAATAACCCATATAGGCACAAAATACGTATAAATCGCCAATTTAATCTATTTAACGGCATTATTATTTACGGCAAATTGTTATTATTCTTCAAGTTTTAAACATATTTATGTGTGTGGGAAATTAGTAAAATAGGGCTATTTAAAATACATATCGATTACCTAAAAAGAACATAACTCTAGGACAGTCCGACGCCGTTCATCGACGACCATCATTTATAAGCATTAATGGATACCAACATCTACAGAAGTAGGTAAACCATAGTATATCATATAGGTTCTAGTACCAATCGAGCTTGAGGTCTTGTAGACCTTCTAAATACGTTGTTTAAAGAGAAAATACCTTTAAGTAGAAATACACTTATCAAATAACAAATCTTTGAGGCAATGATTTGATGAAAGAGAAGGCACTCTCACCTCTAGTGTACACAGGAAAATCGCCGTCAGATCGACTGTGGGTAAGCATGGGTCCGTAGCACCGCCACGGCGGTCGGTCGCGCAGCGCCCGTGGGCCCTCCACGGCCGTTCACCTACGCCAGCCCATCAGCACAATAAACACGGCACACGGGCCTACATCTACGTAGCACTCTCAGCGTGGCGTCCAGCTCTCACAACTCACGTCAACTCACCGATGGCGGCGCCACATAGACGGAGAGAGCGAACGGAGGCTGCGCGGCGCATCTCTCGCGCGCATCCCTCACCCTTTCTGTTTCTCTAAGCCGGGCACCCGCCGCCCGCCGCCACGCAGGCCCTCCGTCCCCCATGCAAACACGTGTACTGTGTTAACGTGATCCTTTCTATGTAGTAAACGCCCAATATTTATGAAATATCCATCTTTACGGGTATAATTTACACAACCATGAACGACTAATAATATTCGTTCTTTCGGATAACAATATGATATCGTTTTTAATTGTTTCAAAATTAAAATACGCATATTTATGACTGCTTTTTTGGCAAAATGTAATTGCAATGTTCCAATAATGTTTTCAGAACAAATAACTACTTCTTATGTGGTGAGTTTAATAAGTACCTACTTGAGAAGTTCTATATTTTAAATAATCTTTGCTAAATGTAGCTATTATATAAATTCATTTAAACAAATTGATAAGATATGTTTTAAATATTTATAAAAATACTGTGAAAACAATTTTTTCAACTCTATACTTTGTTTTCTTATAGCACATTACCTAATTTATGCATAAAGAAGCTACCAAGCTCAAACATAATAAGAATTAATTTACTTACAGTCATCCACAGACATTTTCTATTTCCAAAATTTTCATTTCCTGGTTATTGGTATGAAAATCTAGCATTTTATAAAAACGCTAGGTCACTTAGCACAATGTTTTGTAAGAAACTGAGCAACACCAAATTAGAGCAGGTTATCTTTCAGTACATTTATAGGACATTACCCATTAGAAACCATTTTTGAGTACCTATGTAGTAATATTAGTAGGACAGATTATCCCGGACAATCCACATCTGTGTGTAGTACCCATAAACCATAATTTGACAAAATCTTGTACTCACTTAGGTCACCATTAGCTGTTGCTGAATCAAATGGTATAGACAAATGTCTACCACCTTTCCCCACAGGATGCACACCCAGATTTGATTTGTCCTCGATGTCACCTAAGTAAAATATATAAAGCTTTTATGTACATTTTTGGCAAATACAAAGGAAAAACAATACCAACAAACCATAGCAATGGTATTATAAAAGAATTATTTGAGCAAAAATTTTTTATTTCATTTAAATTAACACTTTTTATCGAATTATAATTTGATCAAACAGATACAATTTAATTTAAATAATAACATTCCACAGCGGATTATCAATATAGGAAATATAATCTGAATAGTCCATGTAGTCATGCATGCTTCCAGCTCCTCGATTGCGGCTCCTCAATCTTTTATCTTGTTCTGCGACATAAAGTTTCTTGTACAATTCTTTCCAGTTTCTATCATCAGTTTGTACATTGTTTTTAAAATCTCTCTTGCACAAATAGTACCATAAACTGTCACTTTCTAGTAGTGCCTTCAGTCTTGTGTTTACTTTGCTAACATTAAGTATATCAAACACAGGCAAGTTCATCATAATATTGAAAAGGACCTCCTCTGGCAATCCCATTAAACTAGCACTTGCATAACCATGATGACTTAAAATTCTACTTTTCACAGCAGATACAGTTTTATTTTTGAATGTTGTAGAGAAATGCTTTAAATCACGAAATATCATTGGAATTGAAGTAGCTTGAGGTGACACCACATAACGACTGATGGGTATACAAATAGAATAAGTATCAAAGTTTAATTCATTAATTACTAAATTCACTAACACAGTTGCTCCCAGTGGACACATGATCAATTTGATTGTAATGTTCTTAAATCCAGACATTATGAATGTAGCTTTGTATACCCCAGAGGGTGATTTCCATTTGGATAGTTGAACAACATTGAAGGATGTCATCGGATCTACCACCTCCTTATCTTCACTAACAAGTAAAAAGCCATTCTCTATCATCAAAACAATAATCAAAATAAATAAAAAATCCTTTTGTACAGAATCATATGTTTTACTCTCATTTAAAATTCGTTTGACTAATTCATGTAGCAAGGGTGCTATCTTCTCAGTAGTACTTTCTTCTAATGTGATGTCCATGTTATAGGTATTAATCAAAGTAATGTTGGTCAATGAATCAATTTTAGCCAATATCCTGCATATTAGTATTGTGGAACCACTACTAACTAAAATTTTAGGGACGAAAATGAGTAGCTTATTCTTCCAGTTTATTTAATTTGTACTTGAACGAACTGAACAACAATTTGTTTACATAAATTGTAATGTCATTGTCCCACAATCGACATGTCCAAATCAGTTGAAAGAATGACATTACATGTGGCGTTCACGAAGGCAGCTATAAATTTTGTATTTTTATCACTACCAGTATTTTTATACGTAACACTTAAAAATTTATACAATCTAAAATTATGCCTCTCGAAAAAACCGACTACTATTGAGTATAAGGTTAACTTTCAGTAAATGTATGTATGAGATCAACACGAGCAATAAGTGTAGAATATAATTCAACACATGTTTAGAATAAAATTTCAATAGTCGCAGTCACATTTTAGTATTTTAATATAAAATAATAACATGCTACACAAGTCATGTTACGTTTTTATCAATAGCTTACTCTATAAATGCACCATAAACATTTTTTATGTGTTGAATTGTTCATTTTGATGTGGATTGAATTTTCTGTATTTATCGAAATACGAAAATGAAATAATATGGAACAGTTACAAGACATTTTTAATAATTATTTCAATAGATGAATATGACTGTCTTTTTTTTTTAAAAAAAATTGGCATACTTTGTGGTATGTGAAATGACTCTATCAGTTTTCGTAATAAACATAAACTTTGAAAATAATAATGATTTTGGCCTATTTCCAACACACTGATGGCTATAACTTTTTTATATTTCATAGTTTTTTTTTTATATCTCTCAAGTTTTAAAGAATATTCTTTTATGACAATTAAACAATTTAACTGGGCCATGGGCCCTTGTCTCGTAAACTTAATATAATTTGAGCATGATATCCAGTATCCAGACACACTTTTGCTTCTTTTATTATTAAATGGGTATGCTTGGTTCACAATCAATGGTTATGATGAGTATCTATAGAGTAACTTCTGCATAAAGAGGCTACTAATTTTGTATTGTAGGAAGACTTTTAATAAACATTGTATTAAATACACATATGTACTAATATTATATAGAGGTAAAATTTGTTTTTTGTGCAGTTTGTATGTAGGGGTAATGTTTGGAACCGTTGGTTGGATTGCCAAAATTCTTTCACTGATAGATAAAGTTCCTAAGTGCTATAGGCTAAAACATCACACTAAGATCAAATGGAGCTGAGCATCAGGTGAAACTATGCGAGAATAGCTAGTACTTTATAATACTTACTTATATTAAGGACTTATATTATAAAGCTGAATCTGAACCATTCTATTGATACTGTATACCAACTATGGAGGAAGGCAGCCAAGTAGTGGGTGAAACCATGCAGGAGTAATTAGTTTAGAATAAGAACATGAGAAACAAATTTTCAATTTAGTATTTTATAGTAAGTCAATAATAATAAAGTTATCCATCTGAATATACATAATTTTTGACATACTTAATTTTTGTTATTTTATTATTATAAATTGATTTAATTTTTTAACATACTTAATTTTTGTTATTTTATTATTATTATTGTACTGAATTTATCTCAATTTTAATCTTCTAATAATATTTCTAATGTACCTAATATATTTGTATGTCTATTAAGGCAAAACATAGTAGACTATCTATATGTAAGACCTAATTATGTAAACTACCTATGTTTAACAAATAAATTATTCTGATTCTGATAATTATGCCCAAAAATAATGAATTATTTTACAATACCAAGAATCTAACTGCAATATACTGTTTATTAAAAAAAAAATGGTATATTTAAATAAGAAGGACTAGACATAGACAAAGGCATAGTTTTGTCACTGAGACCACAAATACTATTTTTGTTTTAAAACAATTATTTTGTAAATTAGATTCAGTAGACTAAACATAACAAATGCAGTGGTCTTTTTCTAATCACTTTAATTATTGTGAAGTTATGTTATAAACAATGAAAAATGTTACCCATTAGATTGGAGTCTAATGACTACAATTTTTCATTTAGTCGCTTTTTCAATAAGAAACAAATAATTCGAACTAAGCTAGTAATATGGAATTACGATTCCACACTTTTAATAATACTATCAATAAAATCAAATATTATAAAAAACAACACTGACACAATCTGTTATAAATTTGAAAGCTTTTACACATGTTTTTGTAATTTCCAAATGCAAACTTGTTGAATAGTGTGAGAAAGTACACTAAATAAATATGGTATTATGTTAAAACAAGCTATTCTGCAAGTTAATAAAGAGATTATTGAGTTATTCAAATTAAGACTAAATTAATGGCAGCACTTTGCCATCGAGGTTATTTGTAATCAAACTTAAGTATTCAACTTACTGAATAAGTCGTTTTATACATAATTCAGTAGTAATATATAAAACACTTACCGATACTTCCACTATTCGTTAACTTCTTGTTGCTCTTAAGTGAACCATCCAAGTTATGATTATTCGAACTCTTATCGTTGTCACTGGCCATTGGGATAAACGCCGTTAATTTAATAGGTAAAAAAATATCACAATTAACTGTTTGTTTCAAACATACTTTTTATTTTAACTAGCATGTAAAAACAACTATAAAATTACAAAAGCACTCTTTTCTAAGTAAATCATGTTTACACCCTCAGTTGCAGACAGATGACAGAAAGTTAGACAGAAACTATAAAATCATAACAATTTAAGTTGCGTTCAAATTAAAGAAATAATGGAAAACAAATAAAACGCCTATAAAATAAACATAACAAAAAATTTATGAGTTTAATGTCTTCTATTATATTATAAAAAATAAATTAAAATTATAATATAAAAACATTCACAAAGGTTTCATCATCATGAAAATATAACTTTAGACAGAAACTATATTATACTTATTATACGCATTCAGAGTTTGAAAATATTTTCCCAAATATTGTGCACTCCTTAATTTTCTGCTTTAAAGTTATGTGTATTTACAATGATGCATGTTGCATCCATTCATTGTACTTAGATTGAATAAATATTCGTGGCGTTTCGGTCGCGCCAAAATTACATGATTTCATACATTCGACAGTGTATCTCCATCCCCAATCATATAAAAGTATGAAAAAATAAGCTTCTGGCTATGGCGTTTTATACATCTCTATTTAGTCAAAAACCGGTTTTACTCAGTCAGAACTTTTATCGATAATTTTGGAACTCCTCCATTATCATCCATAGTCTATACATTTTAGTGTTGCAACACTAAAGTCGCGCATAAATAAGTGCATCACATTCTCGTGTACGCTGTTGTTGATAAAAGCTATCTATGCTCGAGGAACTACGATTGAAAAAATAACTTGCAAACTTTGAGTGTAATTTTATTTAGCCTTTGTGTTTATGAGCGAAACAAACGATAGATTTTTATGCATTTACAATATTTTAAAGAAAATTAAAGTTTTGCTGATGTGATATTCTTGAAATGTCATCTTATATGGCTGGAGTATTTGATTTAGATTTAGATGTGGATGCTGTTGTGGTTGGAGATTCAGATGAAGACGACATAATCGAAGTTGATGAGGTATTAATGCCATGATATTTATAATTAGATACACCTCATTATTACTTAACCTAAAACCTGTTCCATTTTCTTATGAATTTCAAGGATAAATTCGTCGTAGTTAATTTTATTTATTTTCGTGACGAATGTTGTTAATGATCAACCCTTTCGTATTATGACTCTTACAATGAACCTTTACTTTTATCTGGTATGGCTGTGAATTTTTACCACAACGTTTAAAATATACGATAAATATAATATATAATACGAAAATAACTAGACGTGCGTGTGTTACAGGTGGATTATGAACCCGAGCTCCATGTAAATGCCATTGTCGAGTAAGTTTAAAAATACAATAATATTAGTGTTCTTATTGTCAGATGGTATTTTTTGTATTAAAATAACCTTTTCTTTTCTGTATTAGGACTGAAGGATCTGAAACTATCCAATTATCTGAAGATAATGTAAATCCAGGGCAATGTAAGCGTCTTGGCCCTCAAGACTTTGAATTACGCAAAGTTTTGGGGAAAGGAGGATATGGCAAAGTTTTTCAAGTCCGTAAAATTACTGGGCCTGATGCTGGTGCTCACTTTGCTATGAAGGTTCTTAAAAAAGCTTCAATAGTACGCAATCAAAAAGATACAGCCCATACAAAAGCAGAAAGGAATATTTTAGAAGCTGTAAAGGTATGTACTAATCTCAGATGTAAAATATATCATTTACGTTCTGCTAAGTTTCTACATGATATGCAATGTAAAATTATTGTTTATTTCAGCACCCTTTTATTGTGGAGTTGGTATATGCTTTCCAAACTGGAGGCAAGCTATACTTAATATTAGAATATTTGAGTGGGGGTGAACTTTTCATGCATCTTGAACGTGAGGGTATATTCCTAGAAGATACAGCATGGTAAGTGATTTATAGTAATTTTATGTTTTTATGTTGAGGTTGGACATATATAAATTGTTCTTATTTAATTGCAGCTTTTATTTGTCAGAGATAATTTTGGCATTAGAACATTTACATAGCCTTGGTATAATTTACCGTGATCTAAAACCAGAAAATGTACTCTTGGATGCACAAGGTCATGTAAAACTGACTGATTTTGGATTATGTAAAGAACACATTCAAGAAGGAATAGTTACTCACACTTTCTGTGGAACAATTGAGTACATGTAAGTGTATGATATTTTATTTTTATTTAAGTTGGCCAATATTAACTACTGCATGTTAGTGTTTCTAATTACCTATTAAACATTTTAATATTCTGTACTATCCTTAGAAAAGCAAGATTACTCTTTCTAAAGCACAAAATCTTCATAGAATTCTTGTAAATGATCTTTATATAGTTTTTATTTTAATATGTAATAAATTAATAAAGTGTATATATGTAACATAGGCCATAGTCAAATGTATATGTATGTACCTACAAAGTTAATTTATTCTGTTTTGTTCATTTAACCAGGGCACCAGAGATTTTGACTCGAAGTGGCCATGGAAAAGCTGTAGATTGGTGGAGTCTTGGAGCTTTAATGTATGATATGCTCATTGGACAGGTTTGTGTCATATGATTTCTTTTCCTAAATAAAAATTAGTGTGTCTTTTCCTAAAGAAAAGTTAAGTGAAAAATTAAGCTTTTTAAATTCTTTATAAATTAGATCTTATGAAAAGTTCGTAAACACATAATTAGCAACAAATCGCTTCACCAGCAAATATTATAATCAACCATGCAAACCCCAGCTTTTACACACCTATTTTTCTTCTATTGTGTCTCAAATTACCAGTATTGAAAGGTGTTCTCCTTCAGCTCCTTTGCAAGCATGAATGATTTGCAGAAGTAAGGAGATGGTTTCCTAGTTCTTCTCACTCTGCAAATGGCAGGATAACAAATGACACAGGTGGTTTTTAAAGATTTGTTCAGTTACGATTGAATAAAATAAAACGCGTCAAAGATAATACCGAAATTTTTTTATATATTTGAAAGGCGGAATATGACATCGGTCAAATATCCGCCGCAGCTTCGTATAGTGGCACGAATATCGGCTGAATCTGAGCGAGGGTGATTGGCTTAGACCTCCGACTTCAGAAAACCCCACAAGAAAATGTCTGGCGGATTCAAATCACACGCTTGGTGCCAATTCAAGTCACCTCTGCGAGAGATAACCCTACCCTCAGACCGTTGATGCAGAATATCGATTGTGTCATTTGCTGTGGCAGGCAAGCAGCGCCAACTTTCTGGCACCACATGTCGTTCAAGTCCAGTTGTACAGTTTAAATCAAAATATGTTTTATTGAATTGTTTATCATTGGCGGTGATGGCATCGCCAACCTCGTTTTCGAAGAAATAAATTGTGAATACGTTGCCTCCTGGTGAACCTCATGTGGTCGCTCCCATATTCGGCAATTTTGTTTATTAACTATTAACAAAACTATTCATCTAACAACGTGCCTCTTCGCTAAAGATTATTTTTCGCCAAAATCGAGATTCTCTTCCAAGCGTTCCGATCCCATTCAGCGAATACACGGCGTTATCCAAGTTGAAATCTGCGAAAGACCGAGTTCTCTCTAAAGATCTGGCGTTCCTTTGACGTAATGGTATTGATTGGTTATTTTTTTAATTTTGTTCACCCATCGTTGGAGAGTAGACTGGCGAACCTGGTCAATTGGTGCACTATAAATAAAAGACATATAAGTTGAGGTATATTTTGTGAAATGTTAATAGGTCGGCAAATGAGCAGACGGATTACCTAATGGTACGCAATCAGCGCTGCCCATGGACACCCGCAACTGAGGAGTTACGAGTGCGTTGCCGACCTTTTAGGGATTAGAGATTATGGATTGGGGGAGTGCAAGGATTGGGCCTCCGGTAACCTTACTTACACGGCGAAACAGAACGCAAACGCTCCGGCCGAGCCGACCCATTCGTGCTGAAGCATAGCTCTCCCACACTTAAAATTTTTGCTTACAATTTTAAAATAAGAGACAATAATGTCCAAGAATGGTTAAGCGTTTTGCTACAAATTATATTATCTTGGTCGTATTGTTTCCGTTATATCTCAAACAAAGTGTTTGCGCCCCTTTTTTCAAGTAGGCTGTCGTGGGACAAGGGCGGCTACCCTAAAAACTCTGCGTTAAAATTTATGAAAGCGGTCATTACAAAAATGAAATTTAGCCTTTAAACAATTTAAAGTTTGTGTTTCAATGCACTAATATTAAATCATAAATATGTACTGAACTAAACTCAGGATGTTGCGCATTGTCAGACTGGCTTAGCACATCCAAATTCGCATTAGAAACAATCACAATTTTTAGATTTTGATAAAATTGCTAATTCATCATTCATGTTTCAGCCACCATTTACGGGGGATAATCGTACAAAAACTATAGAGAAAATATTAAAAGGTAAACTTATGCTTCCTGCCTACCTCACACAAGACGCCCGTGATTTGATACGGCGTTTAATGAAGCGTTCGGAGACGCAACGTTTAGGAGCTCAGGGTGCTGCTGGAATTCGTGGGCATGCCTTTTTCAAACATGTTCATTGGGATGACGTGTTTGCTAGAAGATTGGAGCCACCTATTAAACCTAGACTGGTAAGATTTTACTTCAGGCACATGTTGAAGTTGAATTTTCCTTTATTTTACTATTAACATTACTGTAACTAGTAAATTAAGTTTTTGGCCCAACTCCAGTTATGTTATGAATCATGATACTAAATTTTTTACCCTTTTTTTTAGACAAGTGATGACGATGTCTCGCAGTTTGATACAAGATTTACTCTGCAGACGCCAATTGATTCGCCTGATGAGTCTACACTTAGTGAAAGTGCCAACCTTATGTTCCAAGTAAGTAATAAAATATAATATGTCTAAAATTAAACAGGAATGGGGATGTTTCTATAAATGTTTTGTTATTCTAAAATATTTTTTATGAAAGAGCAGACAGATCATTTTATGGTAGCAAGCGATCATGGCCGCCTATCTCACAATGTCGCACAAAGCCTGTAGGAAGGGTGCTTTAAAAAAAGTGCCTTTGCCACGTTTAAACTAACTACACAATTGATTCAACAATTTCAATAAAAAAAATATATTTTAAAATTGAAAGTAACGAGAAAGTATGCTAGTTGACATAACATGTAAAGATCAAAATGTAACTGATATAATACTTCATCAGGGCTTTACCTATGTGGCGCCTTCTGTAATGGACGAGATCCACAAACCGCGTGTTGTAACTGCTCGTTCACCGCGGCGCCCGAGACCTCAACACCACCACTTCACTATGCCTCCTGCTTCAGCTGCCCACACTCACTCGCATGCTCAACATGAAGACCTCATGGACGTTCAAGGTTTACCTATATAGAAAGTACCTTTAGTAATAATTGAAAAATTAAAATAGTTAAGTGTTGTGTTAATTTAACTACTGGTCTGTATTAATTTAATAAAGCGGGTTTACCTCAATTAACTTGGTTATATAGATATTCTGAAATGAAATCATACTTATATGAGTCAATTTTTAGGGCATATATTAAAACTTTTCGCGAGTGCAGGTGGGTGGATGTTTACTTTCGCTATGAGTAGCAATAGTATTACTCAATACAATTTATATTTTCTGTGTTTTTCTTAAATCCTGAAACTACTTCTTTAGTACATAAAGACCCGCACGAGTTTTAATGTACGCCCTTTGAAGGTTGTAAAATTGTTATCAAACGTTGTTTCAGAATAAAATATGATCCTGTGTTTTTCAATTAATTTCATTCAAGGTTAGTTTGAACAAATTATGTAAGTACATCAAATTTCGCAGCATTATTGTTATTGTTTGAACTGTCCATTCACTGATTTATTTTTATTTTATTCTTATACAGAATTGTTATTCATTTGAATTTAAAAGGAATTGTTTCATATGTAAACTGCTATAGTTAATTTTTTTAGAACCCATGCGAGGCCCGCCAAAACTAACATTAGTTAATTAATATAGAAAATGAATTAATACATAGGTTAGATATAATTTTAGTGGATTGCTATAATTTCATTTTATTTAATTTCTGATATTTGTGTCTCTTCTTTACATTTTTTGGTAACTTTCAGTTTGAGTTGTTGATACCCAGAGTGTCATTGTTTACTTTTATATAATCTGTACAATATTATTTCCGTTTTTATAGTAGTTTATGGTAATCAAAACGAACTTCCTACAAAATGCTTATGAGAATTGGAATGCAATAATAATGTTTAACTATATTATATCGTAATGAAGATATTGTGTTGAAGTTATAAGAAAGATGATTGTTATTTGAGAGTAAAATATTAAAGGGTATAATTACACAAGCATGTCTAAACTATGGATCAAGTGCTGCGTCGTATTAGTGATATTTACTGATTGTACAGATTATACTATATGCCTTAAAATACATTACACAAGAGTTGTTGACTATTACAAGTATAGAATTGACTGAAAAGCTTTTATTTTCAGGCCTAGAGTAAATTCCTATAGTTGACCATTTTATGCTAAGAATGAATTCAACTACAAAAGATGCCCATATAATATCGGAATAAATGGTACTGTTTTATACTACATATTATAATTAAATGTACATTTTATACAAGTTACCGTTTAGTCTTATCTTTTGGTAGGAATTAATCACATGTAAAAGTTGTTCTAACCCCGATATGACAAAAATAATAATTTACAATATACCTTGTTACCATGCTTCATGAATTGATTAAAATGTCATTTTTTATTTTGTAACCAAGAGTTTTTTTCTTATCCTGGAATATTAAAACAATGGTCAAATAAGTAATAATTTATTTTTGAAAAAGATTGACATTTGTTTTATTAACAACATGCAGTATGTGGCATCCGCATACCCAAGAAGTATTAGACAAAGAATCAGCATTTACTTTAGAACCAATACACTTAAACTTATTTTTATATCACAGACTTAAAACTACTTTATTTAATAAAATAATAATATAATTTATTGAAATACAAAATAATCACATTTAAAATGCTGGCTACAAATGAAAAATGTTACATCTAGGCTTACTAAAAAGTATGCAAGTAACTGATAAACAATTAAGATATTTTAACTTGACTTTTAACAAAACAACAATAGATAACAGGACAGGAATCAGTAAGAACTAAGCACATGTGAATTCTCACTACTTCAATATTGTTCATGTGTGAGCTAACCAATTTGCTACTTGTCCTTTCTTTATATTATTAACTTCATTTCAGAACAATTTTCACAAATGAGGTAAATATGACTTTCATTTTCTTCTGAAACTACCCCAAATTGCACATCACTGTTACATGAAGCATTATGAGCTTCCAAAGAACATAAAAGAGATTTTTTAATATCGGAAAGTGAAAGTTTAGTCTTTATGTCACTCTTACAGTTGGAACAAGTCAGGTGATTACTTTGAAGCTGAAGATTTGTTTTCTGGCACACAGGACATATGACATTATTATCTTCTTCAACTAAAGACCAATCAACATTTTCTTGTTGGCTTTTTTCATATTCTTTGATGCACCTGAAATAATTGTGGATTTGTTTTGAACTGTTTTGCAGTGTGAAATTGGGAGTTATGTATTTCATCGAAAAAGCAACTACAATTCTACTTAGAATTCCAGCTTTGCTTAGTTGAGATTTGAGGACTGCTTTGCTTTAAGAATTTCCAAGATTCACATATTTTTCATTTCATTAAGGAGAAAAACATTAAATAATAAACATACCACTCCAACTCTTCTTGCACAAGTTCATTTTTCAATTCCTCCATAAGCTCATATTCTTCATCACTGATTATTTCATCAGAGAAATTAAACATAGATTTGTATATATTAGTTAATGCAGTGCATAAATCTTCCTCTAGTAGAGACCCTCTCAGTTTATCCATCAACATAACACGGCAGTTTTGAATTTTATTCTTGTAATTCTGAAACATTAAACAAGCATTAACTTTATTACTTATTTTAAACACAGGTCCGTGTTTGGCTGATTACTTGAGGCTATCAGATTCAATTTATAAACTCCTCGGTAACATATTTATGGGGCATAGTCCCCGACACCGAAGGTATGCAGGTACAAGTGTACAGCACTTGAGTAGACTATCCGAGTGGCATATAAAATATTTACAAATACTTTTATCATTCAACATAACCTGCATGCTGGCAGATTATGAAATAACCGTTCATATGAGAACAGATTTCTACTACAAGCCATTACAGGAGCATCTTGCTACTTTTTGGTACTTACTACTGAGAACTTTGAACAACACAAGTACACAACAACAGAATTTACCTTCCTCATTTTCTCTTTAATTTCTACAGGAGATCGTTTTGGCCGACTGTCCAAATGCTTGAATCTTGGTGATGAGGTCATTTTAATAGTAATTATTAACGAGGTAAGTTTTCGAAACTAATAAGCAATTCAAACAACACTAATATACAAAACTGATGAAATATTGGCGCTAACCATCTGAAATTTAAAATTGCTATTAAAAAAAACACAAATATGTCAATAATGTCACTCAAATAAGACGGTTTCATAGACTAACACAGATTACTTTAAAAGTGTAGAGTAAGGTACCTACATATTGTAACAGCAATAGATAATCTGTGTGTAACAGACTGGTTGCTGAGGCATTGGTTTGATTGACATAATGATAATCAAAATGGGCGAGATCTTAAATACTGAACAGCGAAAGAGCAAACATTTCGTTTGTAACAACTATTTTTGAAAAACATAAGCAATGCCACTTGCAGGTTACAATGTTGGATGGTCCATGGGTCCATATTAGTTTGAAATGGTTTAATGTTGTCAGCATAAAAATAATGTTGATTATTATCTAATGATTTCATTAGTTTAGCAACATTAGCTGTCAGATGAAAAAAACAATGTGTCTGTGAGTGTGAGTGATAAGTAAAAATATGGACAAGTCCAAAAGTTGATAGACCTTTTATCAAACGTAATTCAATAAAACTTCAAATTATAATTTACAACTTTGGCACACATCTGTAATCACACCATCAAAATGAACGATGTTGAAAAACGACAATCCCGACCAGAGAAGGAGACTATACACTCGGGACACTTTATGGTGTCACATTTTGAAGCTGAAGCTCAAGACGACTTTGATGACTTGGTCACAGTTCCTGATGAAGATGAGAAACAAAATGTGCAGAAAGTTACAGCTGTGGCAACTTATACAGTACCCGGGGCGATGATACCTTATCCTCCTGATAAAGAGGAAAGTATTCAACATCAACAACTTTCTATAGAGATTTCTTTGACAAAATTATTCAAATGTATGACTTTGGCTTACAGGTGAGTCTCACATGTTTATATTGCCATAGATGATTATAGAATACACATACTGTAGCTGTTAATTGGCATTGATGTTTTCCTGGTAGATGTTTAGTTGAACATGCTCGACTTACGTATTTCGTCGCATATTTGTAACTTATTATCTTAATTACAAACAAGATCTTACTCGAGCATGGAAATATATGACAAATATTGACAAACTCATAAATTATGATTCAAAATGATTAACAGTAAGACATGTTATTTGTATTTTGTTACTATACCAAATTGGCTGGTGTTATCATTTTTTGTATTTCTCTAACAGGGGATATGATTTGGGCTTCAATATTTATTGAAATAATATCAAAACATCTTATCAGTAAAGCATCAAATGTTCTCTAAAAATAAGGAAACAGTATGTTTCCATTGGGTTTAGTGTGCAAAGATAAGAGGAGGTCATCATAGTCAGTACAAAAGACACAGGTCATATGCTGAGATAAGTCAGTCTATGAATACTTACTTAGTTATAAATAATTTACTTTTCATTTTATAACTGATTTAAGTAGTGTTGTTTTACACTATTATGACTATATTTACTGTTCTGCAAATATATATTATATATATTTTTTAAATTGTTGTTGATATAAAATGTTGAGAAATGAACCTTAAAGCTAGTTACCCACTTATTTTTACAATTTTCAATGTACGGAATTGGTAAATGATACTTTATAGCATGCTGTGCATATACTATAACTTTAGATATGTATACTTCTTAAAAATAAACAAATAGAATGTACATGATACATTATTCCCCAAACACAATAATATAATATTGTGTGAATGTTATGTATAACATTTTTAAAGGATGCTTTGACAACAAGAGAGTGAGCCATTGCATTGATATTTCATGGAAATAAGAATGAAAGAGTAAAACCAAATGCAATTTATATTGATGTACTGCAAGAAATTATTGTTATGAAAAATAATTTCCTATTAATTATGTAGACCCTGATAATATTACATGTTTTAGTGGGAAGGTCCAATTTTGATTTGAGCAGGCAGCCTTACAATTAACTTGCTCAATATAAATAATTATCCAATTAACTATTATTTTTAGTATTTTTCGGAGTGTTTTTATAGTTTTCTTATTATATCCCGTGAAAAGTGTAATCTGGCACTAAGATTCTTGTATATTTTTAAGTTAAAATATTACATATAGTCAGTTAAAATGGAACTCCAGTTAAGTCATGGAATTATTTACTTACTGTTAATTACTTATTAATTTATGTATAATATGTAAGTAGATACTAACCTTTGTTTTTGTCAAGGTTTCTTCTTTCCTAACTACATTTATTGTAATTAAAACAATAGATCATTAGAGCTGTCCATCAAACAGCATTTGCTAAACGCTCTTTGAAAGAGTGTTTAACAACAATTTAGATTGGTTGTGTCTTCTATGAAGGTACATTGCCAAAAAAATGAAATTTGTTGTCATATGAACAGATGACTCTATTTGCTAAAAGGCAATATCACTTTTTGGACTAAGAGATCCATAAAGAAGTAGAGTCACATGGATTTCAGGTCCCAATACAGAGAATTTAATGGACAACACAATTCCTATGATGAATTTGTTAATAGAATTACACATCCTAGATATATATGTGTTTATACATTTTACATACTTGTTTATACATTTTTTATTTAAATCAAACCTGTTAATAGATAATAAATCAATGACATTAATACTGCCGTTAAACGGCGCCCAACAGCTTCACTAATGGCGCATTCTTAGAATGTACAATCATTTGCTCATTACTGAGAGGATTCATTAGGTTTAGGTTCGATATTAGTTATGATAAATTATACTTCCATCATCTCAAGTAGTATTCTTCATGCACCATGCACTGGTTGTAACTCTGAACTGGAAGTCCTTTCTTTTCCTGTGTTGTCGATGCGTTTAAAACATACAACTTCACATACAACATACTGGCTCTGTTCCGTGCGGGTATCGAACCCGCGACACATTGCACGGCAATCGGCCACATCAAACATTTAGTCCCTTATTGCCTTACCTACTCTTATATTTATCCCAACTCAATAATGAAACGTGGCATGAAAGGTACATTTCTGTAACGGTAATTTTAGTTTTCTCGGAAATGTATTGGATGGATTTGCTGCCACTGCTTCAAGTGACTAAATATGAAAATTATGATATAATTTTTCTAGTTATTCTTAAACCTTTTTGTAAGGGTAGCCACCACTGGAAATGTCGGCAATTCTGTCGACAAGATGAAATATCTAAAACATTCTTAGTGAATTTTAAGTACTAAGGTAGGCACTGGAAAGATTGTAGATAAAAGCGTTAACATGCTAACAATTTGTATCAAATGGCGAAGAGTACAATACTTATTTTAATTGAAATAATGATGGCTCTTATATTCAAGTATTGATCGATTCGAGTAAATTTTTCCTGACTATAGTGGTCAATGTTCATCAAATTGATAACTGTGAGAACACCTACAAAAATGACGACAGTAACTACGTAACGGATTATGACGTCAATAAATCGTATGTTAAGGCGCGATACATAAACGAGCAGCCCGCGAGCCCGCTGAATCCTGTAATTTATTGATAACTATATCAAATTTATTGTAACAAATTGCTTTTCTAATTTACCTTCTGTCTCTTATTTGTACAAGTAGAAACTGTAGATAAGATAGCATATGTTTCTTTCTTATCAAACTGTTATTTGCTATAAGCTTAAGATCACAAATTGATAGCGATGTTGATAACCAGCTTACCACTTGATTGTCTGACAATTTATTTCCACTGTGCAGCACAGTTTTGTAATATTGTCTGCAATTTTGACAAATATTTATTTTTATTTTTTACAATCATGGAGTTTAATTTTAACAAAGTAAAAATGCTTCTACTTAGTTCAAGGACCTTTATAGTTAACATTTTTATGATAGTTCAGTTATCTAATGTTAGTTTGTGACGGGGTGTATAATTCTACATAGGAAGAGCATGGTGAGTTGATATTTTTCTTAACAACTGTCTTTGTATTGTTTTTCTCAGACAAAAATTAACGTCACCAAAATGGAATCGTTTTAAAGGTATAAAACTTCGGTGGAAGGACAAGATTCGATTGAACAACGTCATATGGCGGTGCTGGCATATGCAATGTAAGTACTAAAATTATAAATACTTAAATTACTTATATACCTATTTTCTCTTCTCACCTACTTTTAAATGTATGTATATCGATAACATTCAAGCGGATTACTGTCCGGACGATCCTTCCAGTAATAGTAACTTTTTTTTGGCGTAAATCATTAGTGAAACTTCTTTTTCACAAATTTACTCTGTGTGTGCGTATGCGTATATTTACTCGTAAGTATATTTATATGTTTCTGTATAAGCGACAACTTCTAATTTATTGTAATGGGAAGATAGAATTTTTATAAAAAATGAGTCATCTCCTCTCATGTGCCGCTTGCGTGATCGGTCCACCGCGCTTTGGACTTGAAATGCTAATTTTAAGCGAGGTTCTTCGGCATCTTGTATGTCGATATCGTAGGCTCGATTCGATGTTCTTAATTTAACTTGTTAAATTGTTTATGATCTTTAAAAATAAAACTCGAAAAAAAGCCGCCATGCAGAAAACGCGTGCTAAAAGTAATATTTTTGATAATGGCGCTGATATGAGATTGGTTGTAGGCGCGTAAGTTTTGTACAAACAATTATTGTCTGGGAAATTATACACCTGTTGATGTACTTAGTTACAAAAACTTCTGGATCACCTATGTAGGTATAAGATAGAGGAGATAACGGTGACCCCGCACTGGACATAAAAATAAAGACAAGGTTGATTTATATTTGAATATTGCTACCACGGCGATATAATGCATATTTAGGTACCTATATCAATTTGAATATAATTATTTTGTTATGCTGTTCAATTCAGTAATTCTCTTGGAGATCGATTGATGTGCTGTACGCGTTAAAAAAATAAAAACCTCCGGGGATGAAGCGTGTTCGGTTTGAACCAGTTTTAAGCATTACGTAAATTGTTGAAATTGCTACAACCCGTTGTGGAGTGTTATTTTTTTTTTATGTTGTTATTATCCCTTTTTTGGTGTTGTAAATATTTTTATCATAAACCACGCCCCCTTTTGAAACGAAGGTGTGTCGAGTTTTAAGATGTGAACCTTTTATCGCATCCATATCTAGTTGAGTAATAAATTATGTATGATACAGAAAAGCTTCAGATTTTTGCGAGTCGAACCTTATGTGTACGTGATTAAGAATTTATCTATGCCTTAATTATATAGAATACCTAAGTGGGACAAATATGTAATCTATTTCGTCTATCGGTGTTGTTGAGCAGCACTTGTCTAGATATTAATGAAACGCCAAAGGCCCAGGAGGTGTGACGTAATTGATGCCAATGTTCACACAGTGATATCGTTTATTGACACCTTCAGTATCGAGGGTACCTAGCTATGATAATAATATGCTATAACTGTACTATTTCAGTGTTCTAAGCAATTAAATAATTATACACAAATTATTTTTCCAGTTATTAAGAAACAAAATACTTTGGTATGCCAATTCGCTTCCCCGTTAGATGTTGACACACACGTAAAGCCAGAGGTAAAGTATCCTATTCACGTGAACTGTTTTACGTGCATTTTATTTTAAAGTATAACCTTTTTCATTGTTAATATTTTAGGCAACAATATTAGAAGGTAAATATTGGAAACGGAGAGCAGAAGCGGTTATAGCAGAATATAAAAAATGGCGCAAGTTTCATATAATGCGACTCCTTGGAAAGGGAGACACATCTGTCCAGGACACGGTACGCACCATTATTGTTAACTAAAATATAATTTTACGAGATTATTATTAAAGCACTTGTTGATACTAATGATGGATGTTCAGATATCGGACATGGACACGGTGGAATCGTTCTCACAGTGCAGCGACCTAGCAGGCAATATGCTCACGGACGAGGACTACCTCAACTTCATGACTGACACACTCTTCTCCACTATCAGCAGTCACCAACCCTTCGCCTTCCCGGACTGCAGGGAAATAGGTAAGTTACCTACATCATCGTCAAGCTGATATCGAAAGTACATGAAATATACTTGTATCAATTAAAACAAACATAATCACAATTTCAGCTAGAGGCGCAAGTTTAGCAGACTTCATACAACCAAGTTTAGGTCCACTGCAACCCAATCTTGATGATTTTATGGACACATTGGAACCACTTCAAGGTAAATATCGGTATACATTAGTAAATTGTTTATTTCGATCTCCATTATCTTTTGGGTGTTAATTTACCATTTGATTCTGTGTTTCAGATTTGTTGACACCCAGACCGCTACCGCCAGTACCCGAAGAATCCGCATTGCCCGCAGACGACTCAATGTACCGCGGGGCTATGTCAGTAGACACTTACTCGTCACAGAACTTCATGACTAGCAGCCAGAGCAGCACAGCGGTCACGATGCCTACCAGTCAGATGTCTCTCCACGGTACACTATATTTAGATTCCACTTTACACAATGACGCAACAACTCAAGCGTCAAACGTATCAATGTCATAAAAGTAAATTCACTTGTCACCATGAAACGTAAAAACCTTTGTGATTATTTAAGATAGGAACACGGGTTGAGCACGTGCAACTTGTAAATAACCGTACCACGCCCTCTTTTCTAGGGACAACCAACAATACTCAAATGATGTCGATGGCTGAGCAAACGATAAAGAATGAGCAGCAGATGGGAATGTACGATAACGGCAGGCTCTTCTCCCAGTCCGACATACAGAACAATATGATGAATGCTCAAGAGATGCTGTCTCCGTATCAACAGATTACTTACGAACAGCAGAATACGTCACAGTCTGACCAGCAGATGCACAATGTTTATGTTGGGAAGTCATCTCGGCTACAGTATGTCAACACTCCCAAAATTGTGTCGCAGACAGATCCCTGCTATAATCAATATAACAAAGGTTTGTCAATTACCCCGGCCTATTATATGAACACTTTTGTTCTTTTTACTGAAAAGGATGTATGGTTACAGGTGTACCGCCTTCACAAACTGCGCCAGAAACAGTATCGTTGCTGCAGCAACCTATACAGAATTCTAAGTACGCTTCTACTATAGTGATTCAGGGCCGTGGGGGCTATAGTCGAGAGAAGCCAAGGCAGAGAGTGTCACACTATTCAGGCCAAGTCCAAAACAACCAGTACCAGAGTTATGGACAGGCCATGAATCAGTCGGGGCCGCCGGTGTCCCCGCAGGGCTACGAGTCTCGTGCGGTGAGCTCGCGTCAAACCTCTCCGCAGATGCAGTACTTGCAGCCGAGTCCCGTGGACTCGTATAAGGCTAAGCCTACTTCTTCTACAGTTAACCCGCGCTCGTTTAAGATGCCTTCGCCGCCGTTGGTGCCCGTTTCTGCTCCACAGGTAAGGAGTCATTATTTACTCCTAGCATCCGCAGTACAGTAATGTAGGATAATGTGAGGTCTCATCGTGTGTGTTGTGGCCAGATGTCGAGCGTGGGCCCCGGGCCCGGCGCGGCGGGTCGCGGCAGCAAGGAGCAGTACCGGTCGCACAGCCTGCCGCTGGGCTCGCAGCTCAACCCCGACTGGTCGGTCAGTGCGCCCGCGCAGCCTGCGCCCGCGCCCGCGCCCGCGCCCTCCGCTCTAGACGTCTCCGTCGCTAAGCATAACGCGAGGGTATGCGCTTTGAGCTATTTATCAGGAACCTTATTATTACAGAATTAAAACCCCGGAGTAAGCCGTTTTATATGAAGTGCCATCAACTGCTTATATTCGTAAAGATCGAAAATGACTTCGTGCATCGAGCTTGTCAAGTTTAGAATTGCTATCTTCCACAAATTATAATTTAAACTGTGTACAATAGGCATACTACAGGTTTCCTTTATATGACCAACAGATGTCTGTGGAAGTGAAGAGCGAATTATTCGCTCGTATCCTCGTGCAATGAAATCTCGGCAATCACTCGAATCATTTGAAATGGTAAGTACAGGTGTACGTGTAACGTACAAAGTTGACAATTTGCAGGCTCGCGAGTCAAACCCGGGTGCCATTCGCATTCGGTCTCGCTCTACGTCGAGCGGCGTGGTGGAAGGCGGGGCTGGCGGGGCGGGCGGGTCCGGCGGGGCGGGCGCGGGCGTGCCAGCGCCGGGGCGCCGCCCCCCGCCTCTCAACAGCGTGGCGTCCGAGCCCACGCTGCCGCAAGCTAGCGTTATGCTCGCTCAGCTACTCTCAGCGCAACACTGTCAGTCTATACGCTACTTATTTATTATGTTTCTGTCTGCAAACCTTCCACTACTTGGTTATACATCGGACTTACAACTACAAATACTGAGTAACCATAAAAACATTTTGAAATTAAATAATTCCGTATGTTACCTGGGATTCCGATGTGTATCCAATATGAGAGACTCGTGACATGCGCTGATTGAGAATGTTTCTATATTTGCAGCTCAGAGTATGTACAAGCTGAACAATAGCGAGGAGGGGGCTGGGTCTGACCCCACCAAGTCGCCAGTCAGGAGGGGTCAACCTTCTCCAATTGGTAGTGATATCATGTCCCCACACCAGGTGAGGAAATAAACACCTACTTATGTATGCCAATTACTTACTAAAAGCAGACCAAGTATACTATTCTTAGGACCTCTCAACCTTGTAGGTAGGTAACTGAAAAATCACTCATTAACAAGTAGGCATACTAATTTTTCATTATCACTTCTAAAAGTATTAGTAGTGATCATGGATCACTACTAGAATTTTATTTATTTTATATTTACCAATGTAATTTAGGAGTTATTTTATGGAATTCTATTTATGATTGTATGGAATTCTAGATTTTGCCCGCGACTTCGTTTGCATGGAATAGTGACATCCTGCAGATTGTTGAATTTACCTTCATAGTTCCTTATCTCGCGGGTGTTGTTAGACGGTACCCAAGCTATCGGCCGATGCCCAACCAAATGCGTGTAACGAAACCATAACGCAATCTATTTCGATCCCGATCGAACATAGTAACAACTCGGATTAATTATCTATACTCCGTTCTAGCATTTACTTTGTACTAAATGAATTTAAAACAATAACATGAACGGAGCTTGTGTAACGATCGACACCATTGCGCTATCACCGCTATCTATCGAGCATAAGGACGACTAGACTCGATTTATTATATGTAGTACTGAATTGACGCCGACTTTTGACCAATAGATGGCGCTGTATGTCCGTAATTAAATATATATTTTTTGTAATAAAAACTATCTAATGTCCTTCCTCAAGTTCAAATCGGTTCAATAGTTTAGGCGTGAAGAAAAGACAGACAGACAGACAGACAGATTTTACCCTCACAAAAGACAGATAGACAGAGTTACTATCGCATTTATAATATAAGTTTGGATAAATGTATAATAAGCAATATGCTATATCCCAGTCGCTGTCCCCGCCGACGTCGCCGGGCGCGGGCGGGTCGCCGCGCGGCGGGTCCCCGCGCGAGGCCCGGCGCACGCACCTGCACGCCGAGCAGAAGCGGCGCTACAACATCAAGAACGGGTTCGACACGCTGCAGGCACTCATTCCCCATCTCAATACCAACCCCGCCGCCAAGGTAAATAGTCTTTATTAATTAACGTGATCTTATACCTATACCCCCCTCTTTTTGTGAGGAATAATCATCAAATGCATTATCTCGTCCAGGACGGGACGATAGCGTCACACTTTTAGAGTTCTTTTTCCTGCTCCAGGTCGAGGCCTTATTGCGTTTGTTCTGCGATCCCGGCTGAATAACTAACTATGGTGTTAGTTACATGTTACACGTTTTCAAAAATATTTTTGTCCTTCTCAGATAAGTAAAGCTGCGATGCTGCAAAAAGGTGCCGAGTATATCAAGCAGTTAAAGGCTGAGAGAAATCAAATTAAAGAGGAGATGGAGAGCCTACGCCAGCAAATAGAATGTTTAAATAATTCTATCACGTAAGTATAGACCTCTATATCGATGCTTGTCTTAAAATTGATTAATCGATAGCTACATGCTAGTGGCTGGGCAAGTGATTAACGCGGGTTCGATTCTCGCACGGAACAAATTGTTTCTGTGATCCACAAATTTTTGTTCCGGGTCTAGGTGTGATTTGTATGTGAAAATGTGTTTAGAAATGCATCTACGACACAGGAGAAAATCCTAGGACAGGGCAACGTTTTATCGTTTCTAAAAAAGATCTCATGTCTGTCTGTGTATTTATATGAACAAATGTTTTGCGAATAAATGTATTAAATAGTGTGGGTATAGAATAACAGCCAATCGTGTGTTGTTGCAGCAACTGCCACGCGTTGCTGCCTGCGACGGGGGCGCCGGTGTCGCGCGCGCGGTCGGGCCGTCTGCGGGAGATGTTCGCGCGACACGTCGCCAACCGTACCATGCACAACTGGAAGTATTGGCTCGTATCCTTTTCGTAAATCGCCACCGGATCTTGGAACGTTTCAACAGTGGGGGGATTCAATGAAACAATAGATTGTTCTATGTAAATGGGCTATAAAACAGCACCTTTACACGTCAAAATTATATGAAAAAAAAAACTAATTAAACCCGGCAAAAATCTCCACCGTCAGCAGGTTCTTGCATTACACGATTCCCTACTAATCATTAAACAATTTGTAGAGTTAGTTTGGTACACCTTTGTATAGTAACTGATCTTTGTAGGGTTGATTTTATGAGAGGAGAAAATCATTGAATGACTTCTCTCGCCTAGGATGAGGCAAGAGGACTCGCAACGCGCCACTTTTTAGGGTAAGAAATCAAATATCAGATTTGTGTTTTCGACTTCTATGCAATACGGGAGTCTAAAGCAGTGTGATTCGGTTCTTACTTACTTTTCAAAGTCGACAATTAATAATGTTAGTATGTAGTTGCATCAGATTAACTCGGTAAATATTTCGCAAGCTACATTGTTGACGACTCTCAAGACAAATATATTTTTATATAAAGGAAATAAATTGCGTCACGAAGTGGCTGTGACAAAACAAATATATTATTACTAGAAATAATGACGATTACCAAGTATTGGGAGGTGTTAAGAATTTTGTTTTAATTCTACTACATCTTGAGCTAGCAATATTTCAATGGTATGCTTTCATTGTTTTCATGTCGGCACAGTTTCTCTACATGTGTATTGTTTTAAAGGGGAAATATATTTATATTAATAGATATATTTCAAGACATTGCAAATTCAAAAGTGAGTAAGAATAAGGCAGTAAAAGAAAGAAAAAGGAAATAATGCGGTATTTCTATGATATTGTTAAAGAAATCGTTATCAGTGTAAACATACTGTAATTTGGCATGAACATGCGGCCGCCACAAGGCAGTCTCGTGAGGGCTTTTGATCGAGGACACTGATAGATAACACGTTATCGTACTTGTTTTGTCGGGAGACGTGCATTTTTTTGCTATTCATCAAATTTTTACTCAACTCGCGCTATGCCTACTTCAGTGATAAGAAACCAGATAGCGACGAATATATGCCTGCTTTATAAATATAAGCTTATTAATCACATGAACAACGCTTATCTTCGAACCATGTGCTATTATTGATATAATACTGACTAGGAGCCTATTTTCCGGATAGTAACTAGACATAAATAGGTGTTAGGTGATAAAGTCCTAGCGACAGGGCTATCTCAATAATCAATATTCGAGATATAGTTAGGTGGAATTCCTTGTAGTGAAGGTGATATTTTGAGAAATATGTATGAACCTACATGGCCCCCGCTAATGGAATTTTGAATGAACTAATTGAAATGACGTTAATTAGTCTTCAAGAGGGTGAACTTTGTAGATCGTTGCTCGTGTTAGGTGAATATTACGTAATTATATAAGTTTCCTTAAGCAATGCGTACAGTTCAGCGTAGTGAGCGCGGCGCTGGTGGAGTCGTTCAGCGCGTGCGTGTCGTGCAGCAGCGCGGCCGACCTCGTGCGCACCACGCTGCTGTGGGCCGAGCAACATTGCTCGCTCGTCGAGATGCGCCCCGGTACGTACTGCAGCACTGGACGAGTCGGTAGCTCGTACGTACGGAGCCGGTAACAATGTCGCGTGCCTGTCCCCAGCGGTCCTGAACTCCCTGCGCGTGCTGTGCACGACGACGGACATCCTGACGAGCCCCGAGCGGCTCGCGGACGAGGCGCGCGCCGCCGTCGCCGCCAGCGCCGCCGTCAAGACCGAGCCCACCTAGCGCCGCCCCCCCACCACCTGCAGGGCGGACCTGCGCCCGCGGTCTCCTCGAGTTATTACTCCATTACTTTTTAGAGTGCGTGTCGACGCGGAATGTTAAAAAGTCGGCCGACATATCAAACTTTGAATATAAAAAATATGAAATCGCTTTGTGAAGTCGGTCGTCTTACTCTTGTTGTTATTATTTATTTGTATTCAAATTATGTTTCAGGACAAATTCTGTCATTACTTTTCACGTTTGCCTTAATTTTGACTCCGCCGCTTACTTTTATTTAAATACCTCACTAAAAGTAAATAATTTTGGAATTAAGGAACATAAAATACCATTATAAGTACGAATGATAATTACAATATTTCAATTATAACATGAAGCTGACAGTTCGTAATATGTTCTTCTCTTCTTCCTCCCTTCATTACATATTTCATCGGTTTCGGAATCCATACTATGACACATTTTTCGTTCCCCGTCAGATGTTACACATCTTACCATAAACATTTTCTTCTTTCATATCATTCCTCTCATAATGATCGCAAATATTCCCTACGTACATTATATAGATTAAATTAGATTATTTGTTAGAATAAACGAAGTTAATATTTGCGATTGTATACTGCTGTCAGTTTGTGTTTATCAGCAAAGTGTCGACATACTGCCCACTGCCCGGCTCCAAGTGTGAGCTTGCTTACATCGAAATTGTAACATTGTTTGTAATTATATTAGTCTATACATATGTTGTATGGAAATTGTTGGTTATACTATAAAATTTTATCAAAATTAGTTTTGGTGAGTCTATTATACTGTTTGTGTAGTGATGGTGTAAACGGGAAGTAAATGATGAAGTGTGAATTTTGTACATCATCACAAGAACCTTAATTTAAACATTTGTCACATTCATCACATTCTATGTGGTATTGTGTAAGAGCGGTCCAAATCCAAATTTTGTATTTTATTGTGGGCGTCGCCTCGGCCTGTAACGGCGAAGGCAGATCATGAAGTGTCCTAATCTAGTGCCTTGTAGCTACGTGGTAAATATTTGTAAAATACACAACATTTTTCTACTATGTGATTCACAACAGTCGGTAACCGAGTATTGTTCTAGCTGCGAGCAATAATAAAATCAGATCCCGAACGTGTTTAAATCACTTTGAGTAGATGAGATTGCTGCACTAATTTATTCGTAAGCACGTTGTTTTGATATTTTTTCCATTTGCTAGTCTGATATTATTTTTGCTTGTACTCCACAATCTCAGATCGCCGTTAAAATGCCATGTGAATACTTGTTTGGGCATATCTATTAGTTTTTTGTTCTGCAAAACTTTAGTATAACACTTAACGATTTCATTCTCCCAATGTCTGAGAATGAAATTAGTGCAAATAAAATGAAGTAATTTTACCAAAGACAAAGAGTCGCTTTACGCTCCGTATAGCGACTCGATCACGTTGTAAAATATGTACATGTGCCCGTCCTGTCCGATAACACGTGAATACCAATGTAGTTCGTAAGAAACAATGAATTTATTGAACTTGTCGAGATTTAATTTAGGATTGTCTAAGTGTATTTACGTAAGTACTTTAAGCAAATATTTTTATATTGTGTGATAACACAGATGTTTTTATATAACTATATATAACTCGGTGCCAACGTAAATATTGTTGTAATTTGTTATGTAGTGATATAATTTTATGAAGTATCGTTGACTCTGGCAGCACGTTGTCGTTTGTTAGCGGCGGCGCGTCAGCCGCGCCCCGCTGTGAGCTTTAAATGAGGTTAAGTGCAATTGTTGTTCTATTGGAAATACAATCTGGAAACACAACACGCTGTTTTAATTATCATTTATTTCAAACCAACAAGGTACAATTGAATAATAAATTAGCAAATCGTATAAAAGTCACGACTGATTACAAATATTCATTTAAATTAGTTCAATGGTCCTCTTGCTTTCAACTAATCAAGTAATAGTCACTACGAAATTACGGACGTTTTACAAAAGTAGATCGAGATTCAATGTCAACACCTTCGTAAATAGTTTAAATTCCTACAATACCGATTGATATTATGTGACTCGTCATGGCCATATTATAATGTGTTGGTCAATTGCTGAATATATTAGACTTCTTTACTAGAACGCTGACAAACTTACAAATTAATCACTGTTTGAAATATTTTAATTTTATTTCAGTATTTTTGTTACGAATTAAGTATGATGCTTCTTATACATTACAAATGTACGGGAAATAAATTATACAAAAATCGATTATACGATCTAACGGGAATACAATTTTTGCAAATACTCTGTTTGCATAGTCAAAAAACTATTGAAATAGCAAACGTGTTTCAATATTAGGACATAGATACATAAATAGACGAAATAATTTCAGTACGTCTTTAATCTTTTGTTGTGTTAGGACAAAAGAATGATGATTACTGATTATGATAAAATCCCTATTTCAACTAAAATACTGGGCAGTTGAATACAGGATTGTTTTATTCAGTCGTTAGGTGGGGAACCCGGATTACGTAAACGTAACACAATAGGTCTCTACGGATGAAGTTGCCGTTTTGTTTGTTGCTGTTTCAAAATAAGATTAATTTTTTGGTTAGTGAAATTCAGTAATACTTTTATCCACATGTCAAAAACTATTATTTTGTATAAAATTTGTATGAAACTCCAAGCAGTATTGAATTCATGATCAGAATAAGGAAGTGTCCTAGTTCTAAAATAAAAAGTCGACGTTTCAATACAATAAAATATTGAATAATAACTATACTTTTATTCATCAATCTGTAGCAACATATCGCTATTTTTTTAGCAAATTTTTAAGACACATAGACACATAGATACTGTAATGACAGTTGTCATGTCAAATAGCTTACTTATTGCTTAAAAATTTTTAAATTAAAATTTAAAATTTTTAAGACATATAGACACATAGATACTGTAATGACAACTGTCATTACAGTATCTATGTGTCAAATAGCTTACTTATTGCTTAAAAATTTGCTAAAAAAATAGCGATATGTTGCTACAGATTGATGAATAAAAGTATAGTTATTATTCAATATTTTATTGTATTGAAACGTCGACTTTTTATTTTAGAACTAGGACACTTCCTTATTCTGATCATGAATTCAATACATTATTATTTATCACTTAATTGGTAAGTATGTTATTTAAAATATTTACCATTTTTCTAAAATCATTCTTATGAAAACAAAATCAATTAGAGAGATAGTGTTAGCCGTCACTATCGACAAAATTAACAGAATTTTAAAGGATAACTAACATGAATTCGAGGCTGTTTGTAATATATCTTGAGCCTTTAGATACAATTATGATAAGCTTCGCTATCATTACTGTATGTTTATAAGTACCTAATGATGCAGAAACCGAGAATTTGCAAGTTATTGTTTTGTCGATAATGACGTCACATTTAACAGTAAAATGGCGCATAGCGTTTTAGATTAAAATGGCCAATATTAAATATGTACAAATTAAAATGATAATATTTGTTCGGGGTTTCTGTAATTTTACCTGCCTATTATCAGTTTTTATTGTGGCTAATGTTTAGATTATGTTTGAACGAAAACGGCAATTTTATATAAGTAGAAACCTAAAGGAAGTTTAGTACCTTATCTATTTAATAGGCTTAAACTATTGTCACACTAGTCAGAGGCCAGGAATGGTATACATACGTAAGTCAGTTTAAAGCGTATAAATGGTTAAGTAGTGGAAGAGTACGTGCTAGCCGGTAGACGCAGGCGCTAGGTGTCTCGCTGCGCGGCGGCCAGCATGCGCGCCAGGCGGGACGCGGGCTGCGCCAGCAGCGCCGGCACCGCGCCCTGCTCCACCACGCTGCCACCCTCCAGCACCACGCCGCGCTCGTACCCGCGCACTGACGATATGCGGTGCTGCAACATTACAGCGTTACTCCATCATGATGTTCATGCGATTTCCATCTACATACATTCAGTCAACAAAGTATCGGGAATGAACGTTTTTTTTATGGTTCCAAATTCGAATTTTAATTTTTTTTTTGTTGTTAGATTGGTGGCATAACTGTTTTCGATTTTGGCGCGGAATTTGAGTTGCATCTGTTATTTATATTAAAAACAGTGCTGTTTTTAGTTTTATAATATCTAGTGTGTATTGCGAATTTCACATAATGGACAAAAATATCGAACAAAGAGTTTGTCTTAAATTTTGCATCGCCAATGAAATTTCGTGTTCGGAGGCACTCAAAATGTTACAGAAGGCTTACGGTGAATCGACTTTATCAAAAACACGTGCTTATGAGTGGTACAAAGCGTTCAAAAGCGGTCGAGACGTGATGGAAAATTTGCCTCGTTCTGGTAGGCCATCAACGTCTGCAACTGAAGTTAACATCGCAAAAGTGAAGGAAATAGTGACTGAAAATCCTCATTCAAGTTTGAGAGAGATGGCCGCCGAACTTTCTGTATCTCACGAGTCGATCCGTACCATTTTAACAAATAATTTGGGTATGAAACGTGTTGCCGCTCGGCTAGTCCCAAAAGACCTGAATTTTCTTCAAAAACTAAATCGCATGAAAGTCGCTGAGGACATGCTAGAACGAGTCAATACCGACCCAACATTCATGAAACGCATTGTTACTGGTGACGAGACGTGGGTTTACGAGTTTGACATGCAAACTAGTCAACAAGCTTCGGAATGGCGCCTTCCAACTGAACCAAAACCGAAAAAACCACGTCAAAGTCGATCAAAAGTCAAAGTCATGTTGACTGTTTTCTTTGACTATCGCGGTGTTGTGCACTCAGAATTCTTGCCCGAAGGTCAAGCGGTAAATAAAGAATATTATTTGAGCGTTATGCGGCGTTTAAGAGAACAAATTCGACGAAAAAGGCCAGAAATGTGGAAAGAAAATTCTTGGATTTTGCATCACGATAATGCGCCTTCGCACAAGGCCATCATTGTAACCGATTTTTTGTCCAAACACTCAACAAACACCATCGAGCAGCCACTATATTCACCAGATATGGCTCCAGCCGACTTCTTTCTTTTTCCCACACTCAAATTACCCCTTCATGGCACCCGTTTTCAATCGTTAGAAGACATGAAGGAGAATTCGCGGTGAGCACTGAACTCAATTCCGGAAACAGCGTTTAAAAAAAGTTTCGATGATTGGATTATTCGTTGGCGTAAGTGTATCGTTTCTGAAGGAGCATACTTTGAAGGTGATAAAATAAATTTAGATGAATAACAAACATTTTGTGTATTTATATTGACTTTTTCCCGGTACTTTCTTGACAGAGTAGTATATGTATAATATTATAAAGCTGATGAGTTTGTTTGTTTGAACGCCCTAATATCCGGAACTACTGGTTGAAATTATTTTTGTGTTCGTTAGTCTATTGATCGAGGAAGGTTAGAGGCTAACATTAGACGCTAAGATCTGTATGAGCCGAGCAACGGGTGAAACCGCGCGAAAGAATCTAGTTAACAATAATAACGGCAGAACATTATGGTTTAAAATTCTGTCTGTGAGTACCGCGACAGTGATGATGGTGGTATGCGGCGCGACGGCGGCGAGCGCGGCGAGTAGCGCCCGCTCAGCCCCCGCGTCGAGCGCGGCGGCCGGCTCGTCCAGCAGTAGTGCGGCCGCCAGCCGCGCGTGCAGCGCCGCTCGCGCCGCCGCCACCCGCCCCGCGCGCCCCGCGCTCCACCCGGCCCCGCCCGACCTACTGCACACGCTGCACTCTGCGAATTGCAACAAAACATTTTGCATCGTCATCGTCATAGTTTTGCCAGGAATAATATTTTAACCCGACGTTCACATCTTTCAGGGTCAGCTCAGGTAAGCGATTCAAAGTGTAAGGCACTCATGTGGATCATACCTAATCCAGCAGGCTGACTGGAAACAAAGTCGAACAGCCCGACTGCTCTCAGACTGTGCCAGATCTCTTCATCAGTGTGCACGGCCAGAGGGTCGAGGTTCTCCCGCAGCGTGCCGGAGAACATGGCGGGGTCCTGCGGCACGAGCACGACGCGGTGACGCAGCGCGCGCAGCGGCACGCGGCGGATGTCGTGCCCGTCCACCAGCACGCGCCCGCTGCTTATTGTGGTCGCGCCCGCACAAGTCAACAGTAGGGTTGATTTACCACTGCCGCTTCGACCACAAATGGCGACCTGATAGCATAATTTAAGAACAACATTTTTATTATAGATATGTAAACAAACGATAATGAGGCGCTAGAATCGTGAATATATATGCACCAGATAACAAAAAAGTAGGTTACCTTTTCACCAGGAGAAATAGTGAGATTGATATTTTTAAGTATCGTATTGGACCCCGGTTCCTGCTGAATGTCAACGTTCTGAAATTCAATTTTGCCGTTCCTCTGCCATCCGACCGGTATCGGACCTGCGAATATAAAAATCCAAACTGATATTAATTTAATTACCAATGATTTTCGCTAGCTGTCTAACATTTATAATTAATTAATGACGGCATAAAAAACACCAACCAAGAGAGAAAGCAAGATTTGGAAAATCGTTTAGTCCCATTGAGCACATACATACAAGTATCTAAGTGCCTACTAAAACAAATAGCCAAGCAGTTTTCATAGATTAGGTAGAAAAAGTTTTTTAAAGCAGTTCTCCAAACACAATGAAAGATCTTGGTATCATGGGGTATCAGGGCGTAGGAAAAAAAGCGTAATAGCATTCTACCTAGTCTAGCCATAAATACAGTAACAAATAAAAATAATATTTATTTCTATTGCAAATAACATTTATTACTTTTACAGTATGTAAGTTTAATACATACATATAAAACAATTTAAAACGTAAAAAGCTTATTCGAAGTGGTCTCCATTGGCTGCAATACAGTCCTTTAAACGTTGAGGCCAGTTATCAATAGAAGCACGCACTCTTACCATGGGAAAATTCTTCACTGCCAATCGTATGGATTGTTTTAGGGAGTCCAAATTATCATGACGTTTAGAGCAAGCCCTACTCTCTAAAACTGACCATAAATCATAATCCAGCGGATTAAGATCGGGAACAGAGGAGGTCTCATTGTACCTATTAATAGCCCGGTAAACAAACATTTGACTAATGCCAAGCGTGTAGAGAGTTTTAAAAATTGCATTTGGCTCTATACCCACTTTGTGTAATGCAATCATAGCGATTCGGTTCTCTTTATAACCCCTGTACAGCGTGATAATAGCCTTACGCTAAGATCGCGCTGTACAGGACTAATTACCTAATCCTAAGTACTACTAGCTAACGTTATCCTACACTATCCTAGATAATCTAACACTTACAATATCCTATCCTAGATCCCCTAAGCCCAATAACCTATGTAGTCTAAGTTCTATCCTATATT